AGGTTTGGGAGAGAGTTTGAAAAAGAGATTTGGAATAATGGGTGATCAAATGAGTTGATTTTCGCTGCTATTTATAGGTTGCTCAAGTGGGCATGCTTCACTTTGTGGATAAGAGTGCGTTGCGCTTTGTCGACACCACTCCTCCTGTTTACTGCCACATGTTGCACTCTCGCTGGTTCACGTCCCCTGGTCGGTGGAAGATCTGACCCTCTCTTATCCATGTGGCGCGATCTTGGGCCGCCATGTCATCATACGCAGGTATTTTCTCAGATTTTTGAAAAATCATATCTCTCATACGAGCTACGTTTTCGACGTTCTTTATATCCACGCATAGGTATTTTTGAGTACTATAACTTTCTTTTAGATCTCAACAACTAATTCTCACTCTATTTGAAATTCATATTTTATGAAGATTACACTGTAAAAGACCGTGCAAAATTCGTAACTTCTTCAAAGGAACTTCGTTTTCGACTGTCTTTACAACGACGGATTCGTTTTTACGTGATCTTCAACTCTCGTTTACATTGCTTTGGCTAAAAATCAATAGATTTTCATATCGATTTCTACGTCACATAGTGTTGTACCGTGTCGCAGTGAAACTTCGAAAAACCATAACTTCCTTATACGAAGTCATATTTAGGCGTTCTTTATATGCACACTTTCGTAATTTTGACTACTATATCTTTCGTTAAGAATATATTGGTTAAAAAGAAATGTATCAGTACTTTGAAATTTGTAATTAGTCGTTTATACTGTAAGGTGAAAACGGGGTGTTACAACTCTTCTCCACTTATATAGATTTTGACCCTCAAATCCTACTCATAACACACCTTGTGAAAATGCCCTAACACCATCTTAATAGGGTAATCTAGGTCAATCCGGGACCTAGCCAAAGTCTTCACATTGATTTCGCCTATTTGCACACTATTTGACTGTAGAACTCCATTTTATCCTTGAAGTCTACCCCAAATTCCTTGCGAAGTCTCCCAAAATTGGGAACTCGTTGGTGTGAACTTCCAGAATTTATACCCTATGTGTAACGTCCCAAAAATTCCGAGTAAAATTTTCTTTTTAAAAAAGACTTAAACCATAAAATTGAGTTGTTCCAAAACCAATTACAGTTATTAAATTATTTAAACATCAGAGTAAAAATCATAAATAGCCAATGCGTAAAACACTGGGGGATGCAATACAGTCACGCTGAGCCTTTCCCTTTACAACCGGAAGTACTGGAAACCATAAACACATAATCGTAAGCACAAAGCTTAGTGAATTCCCTAAAATACCATATACCATACACATCACTGGGCCAAGCCCGCACAGTGGTCTCAACCCATAATAATAGGCCTAGCCCTTCCTAATCAATGGGCCCAGCCCAACATATAATTAGGCCTAGCCCATCATACAATGGGCTGATACCAACATATAGTGGACCCAGCTCACTCATGCAATTGGGCCCAGCCCTACATACATGTGAATGGGCCCAACCCAACATAGATTGCGAGAGTCATGAAGACAACTAGAATCCTACATAACACATTAATGGGTCGACATTTGTGTCTTCGATCCACGAGTACAGTGAGGATAATCACCTCAATATGAAGATAAACGAATCACACACGCGCTGCTGCTATAGGGGTTCCTCACAGTGAACGTATCCAAAATCAATCCTAATTAATAATCAGGTAATAACCCATAATCAATGGTATAAATCATATTATATCTTACTAAGGGTAAAATCCATTTTACCCTTCCCATACTTGACCCAACAAATCGTGGACAAAAACCCATAATGACCCAAGGCCCAAAAATGTCCCAAAATCATCTCTTGGAGTACGCCATGTGTACTCTCTTATTACGCCCAACATACTGAGATATCATCAAGAAGGAAATAGGGCAACACCCATTACACCCTGCATGCTCAGGGGTTACGCCCAATGTACTCCCCCTGATGCCAAAGCCCACTTTTAAGCGCTTAATTCATTAAGACTAAACGTCCAACTCACAGATCTCAATATTGGGAAGGTCTTAATTGATAAAGTCAAAAAATTTAAGCTTTTGCATTACTTAATAAAGCATGACATCAAACCCTAGCTCCAAAATGCTCTCCAAAGTCTTCATGCATGGAAGAATGGGAGTGCCCAAGTACCCATTTTTATGGCTCAACAACCTCACAAATACTAATAAAGGACCATAACAAGTTTTGGTGTAGCTTATACTCACAAGAACTAAACCATGGGGCCAAAAACATGCCAAAACATAACCCAAATCTAGATCTAAGCTAAGGATCAATAAAGCATAGAGCTTTATACCTCTAGAAGATGCTAGATGAAAAACCAAGTGTGGATCTACAAGCTCCAAGCTTCCAACACCTCTCCAATGGACTCGTTCTACTTCAATATGCACCAAAACACACAAAGTATCCCTCTAAGATCTCAAGAACCTCACAAGGTGGATAGGGTTTCGAAATGGTGCTTTGGGGCAGTGGGGGTTGGTGATAAGGGAGGTCTTAAGGGACTTAAGGTCCTTAAATAGGGGCTCAACCCTAAGATTTAGAGTCCGTAGTCTGCATGAGTACACCCAACATACTCCTTAAGTACGCCCAATGTACTCAACAAAGTTCGCGATCCATTTAATGAATTACGCCCAACGTACTCCTAGTGGATGCCCAACATAATTCAAAAATCCTGAAGTTCTACTTCAACTTCAAACGACTATAACTTTTTCTTTTCAACTTTGTTTTCGGTGTTCTTTATATGCTCGGAATGGTATTGAAGAGCCCCGCAATCCTATCTCATTACTTTTGACTAAAACCGTACCGAACTAAGATTATTAATTTACGCAAGAAGCCCGAAACATCACTTCTTTCCATATTACTCCTTTGACTCTAAAACACGAACCGAGGGCTTGGATCACATAACCTATATTATCCTCATCCAATTGGGTCTAAACTCTAATTATTTGAAGTCCAAGGCCTTTACTTGATCCCTCTAATGACCATGATCCCGAAATAAGAACTTCTCAAAACAGGATGCCACAATTCTCCCCCACTCAAACTAGATTTCGTTCTCGAAATCACTCCTTTCTACTTTCTAGGCACCCAGAAGATTCAGTTCATCCTTCCTGAACCACGATTCGGACTAAAATTCAAATCATACATAGGGCAACTTCGAATACTATAACCGAAACCCAATCTTAGCAAGACTCACATACTGTGAAGAAGAACGGATCCTTGACCCACTAACTTTAACCAATCACTACTAGAAAACAGCCCTTTAATGACACATAAACAATGACACGCGCTGATAGAGGACACACATTTGTGCGTGCCCTAAAAAATAATGTCACTTTTGCAAAATTTGAAGGATAGAGGACATGCATTTGTGTGTGCCCTAAAATTATTGTCTTATAAAAAAAATTTACAAACACGGAGGTCGCTTGTGCATCCTCTGTGAATGTCTCTTTATAAACTTTTACTCAAAACGTGCGTTCTGAAATGAAATCCTTTAAAATTCTAATTTTGAAATACCCCGCTTCAAGATATCCATTCACTCTCTTATTCACTCTCTTCTTCCCTTCTCTGTACAAACCCTAATCACCATATCGTCTCTACTTCAAGGCATGTACGTGACCTTATATTTCTCCATCGCTTTCAACATGTTTTCGAAATAAAATTTCTCTATGAGAACCACCGTCTCGCCAACCGATGCCGGCCTGATCAGCATAAAGAATCTGAAAACATGAAATTGAAGGGACGATTCTAGGGCTTTTTTCAAGAACACACACTTATGGCTATCTCTTTCTCTATTTCTCTCTCTCTCTCTCTCTCTCTCTCTCTGTCACACACACACACACAAAAAAATTGAAGGGACGATTCTAGGGATTTTTTTCAAGAACCATTCAAAACGTAAAGACCATATCGACACTCACCCTTACGCCATTGAATATCATCCATTGTCAACCCATCCTTCGTCGCTGATATCTTCCATCGTCAACTCTTCCGCCGTCAGTCAGCATCCATTTCCTACTCTTCCGGTGCCGCGATAGACCATTGCCAACCCTTCTGTCTTCAGCTTGCATCTTAGTAAGATATGTTTGTCAACTCTTTTTTCCATCGCCAACTCTTTTGTTGATTGTTTCTGTAAAGATTTGCGGTTTTTGTGTTTCTAATCTAGGGTTCTAAATCATAGTTAGACGTCACTCAGTCGTGGCCTCTCATGACTTATGAATCATAGTCAATCGTTGCTTACCACCACTTCCATATATGTTGTTGCTCACCACCACCTCCTTGATATGTCATCTCTGAAAAACCCTCAGAATTTCTAGGTAACATTCTTATACTCCAGATTTCATCATATTCTTGCGATTTTCCCAATTAAAACCATGATTGTTCCTTTGTTTTTCTGAATTAATCCATATTTATGTGTTTTGAGATTTGATTTCCTGTCCCTAGAGTGGAATTTAACCAAATTAGTTCATAATTGATCCTGAATCTAGGATGGTTAAAGATCTGTTTGAAGAGCTAAGAAAATATGGTGAGGTTAAGCTAGATAAAGACCGATACTTCCATTGTTGGTATGTTGGATCTTCAAATTCTTGTAAACTGTTTCTTATAATTAAACATATTAGACCAACATTCTAAGTTGAAATATATTTGCCTTTTATATAATTGTGATAATTTCATGCACTACTACTGTTTCTTTTGTGACTTTTTTTGTAAACTGTTTCTTGTAAACTATTTCTTTTGTGACTTTTTTTGCGGACAAAAATGCCCCTGTGTGCGTAATATTAGAGCCAAGTTGTTAGTCCTTTAAATCATGAGTGAAACAATTGCATCCAGCTACTCGGACCCTTCTTCTCTTTTATATCAATTAGAGTCCATTCTCGAATCGGATCCAAGCTGTTAGTCCTTTAATGTAAGGTTTACATGCGCTACTACTATACCAAATCCAATTTCCAAAAGTACACCAAGATTTTTGTGAAAGTTGATACATATAGAGATGGAAAAATCACAGGTGAACAGGTCTGAAATCTGTTCTTGGGTTGGGAATTGCCAAGAGGTAAGCACTGCATCATTTTCTTTCAACAAATTTATTGACACTTGACAGTTGATAGTTTCTCAATTTGCATCAAATCTTCATCTTCATTTTATACTTATTCTTGGGTTTCAGATATCCTAAAACAGGTATGGGACTTCTCTGATCAAGACAATGACATCATGCTTTCATTGAATGAATTTTGTATTGCTCTCTTCCTCATGGAGAGACACAGGGAAGGCCACTCTCTTCCTAAGGCACTTCCATTTGGCATTTTGTTTGAGGGGACACCAATCACACCATTGCCTTTAGCAAGTCAAGTTTGGAGACATGCTCCAGGTAGATAGATACTAATATATCTGACATCTGTCATGTTTCCAAATTCCAGATTCATATAATCATGTTCTATTTATGCCAGGTGTCAACCAACAACCAAATGCTTCACTTTGACAATGGCAACGTGCACTGAGAATATCAATTGTTTTCTGTACAGCCGTGTGGCTAGCTATTTACTTTGCTCATGTACATAAACTTTTATTCATTGAGTTTTTTGAACAATACTCCAATTTTTTTTTTAATTATTATGAAAGGGTCCTCTGGTTCTTGACATTGGAAGGCTAGCAACAGGATTTGGAATGGGAGTCTTTTCCTATGTGGTATGTTAGTTTTCCCGACATTTGAGTGCCAATTATTTGAATTTATATGATTTCTTTCTCTTTTACATAGTATGTTTCTGTGTTGTAAGGTACTTGTGTTCATAGCTGAAATTGCACCCAAAAATTTAAGAGGGGCATTAACAACAGCAAATCAGGTTGCCATTGCTAACCACCTTATATTATATAGATCTCATATGTTATTAGCATAATGGAAGTTGCAATGCCTCTAAACTGTTCCTACCTACTTTGCAGCTCATGATATGTACAAGAGTGTCTGTTGCCTTTATAATTGGAACAGTGCTAACATGGAGGACCTTGGCATTGACAAATTTTAAATTAGTCTAAATTATGTTTATTTACTACTAGTGGCATTCTTATGGATAAATAAAATAAAGGGTGATGAATTATAGTGTTCTGTTTGCAGGATTAATCCCTTGTGCTGTTCTATTAGTGGGGCTTTTCTTTGTACCAGAATCTCCTAGATGGTTGGTATGTGAAGTATCATGATTCATGAAGCTGTTTAATTTATCTGCAAGAAATTATGTTTGACATCATGCATGCAGGAAAAGATAGGAAGAAAAAAAGAGTTTGATGCAACCCTAACAAAACTTAGAGGGAAGGATGCTAATATATCTGTGGAGGCGGATGAAATCCAGTTGTTCATTTCAAAGCTCTCAACTTTTTTTTTCTTTTTTTTGTTAACGAATAAAAATTATAGAATTCTTTTTATGTGTTATCAATGGGGTCTTGAATATGTTGATAGGATTATATAGAAACACTGCAAAAGCTCCCGAAGGCCAAAATATTCGATTTGTTTCAGAGAAGATATTTGCGATCTGTCACTGTAAGTTTATTTTCTTGACAACTCTTGTTGGCTACTTTACAAAAAAGATTTTTATAATTGTAGTCTGAATCTTATTTTGACCATACTTATTGAGAAGATTGGGGTTGGACTAATGGTCTGTCAACAATTTGGAGGAATCAACGAAATATGCTTTTACACAAGTAGTATATTTGAGTCTGCAGGTATACATTCTGGATTCACAATCACTGATGCTTCCAATTCCATAGAAACCCTATAAATTGGTAAATGTCTAAACTGTGTCCAAGTGGATTGTGAGGAACAATGCAGAGTCTGAAAATATGAATTGGTAAATGTCTAAACTGCCCCTTGGCAGGTATGCTGATCGAGTTGCTAATGCTAAATGGGAAGTTAAAGAACATGGAATGGAACACAACAGGTGATTATTTTTAATTTTAGCACCAAATATTTAAAAATATCATTTTTTATGTTAAATCATAACCATAACTCAAGGTGCTATGTCTTTTATCTACTATTTGTAATGTTGATCTGATAATATTAGTTAATAACATATTTAGATAACAAATCTATCATTACTGATTATGTGATTAATCACATAAACTGATTATGTGATTAACAAAAGCTGATTATGTGATTAATCACATAAAACATATTATGTGATTAATAAAAGTTCTTTTTTGTTTCAGCTAATGTTCAAGTCATTACTTGCCATCCACGCCCGGTGGACAGCAACCCAGTATACCAGGTGGCAAACCAATAATATAGAGGATTTTTTTGACATGATATCTGAAACAAGAAGGTGCCCTTAAATAGAAATGTAGTATTAGGTTATATAGTTAGAGAAAACCTCTTAATAACAATGTACAATCTGATCCCCTTAATATCAATGTATTACAATTTTTTGACATGATGTCATTGGTTGAAATTGATTGTTTTGGTATATATTTGTTTCCATATTTTTGTATTATGCGTAAATGAATATCATAAAGGCACATCGTAAATGCATATCGTAAATGGCTGCTGAAGTTTATGACACGCAAATGCGTGTCATCTTCATTTATGACAGGGGCTTTAATGATACGCAATGTGTGTCATAAATGCGCGTCGTAAGGTTACGACACGCAAATTCATGTCGTCTTCCTTTATGACAGGGCCTTCCTTGATACGCATTGCGTGTCGTAAATGAGCGTCGTAAATGCGTGTTGTAAATGCGCGTCGTAAATGCGCGTCGTCTATAGACGACGCGCAAAAGCGTGTCGTCTCTCGTTATGATAGGGCCTTCCTTAACACACATTTGCGCGTCGTCTGAGTGTTTTATGACACGCATTGCGCATCGTAAAAGGCTGTTTTTCTAGTAGTGAATGAAGAACAACCATCACTACTTTGTCCAAATTCCAGAAATCCAATACCTTGTCTGACTTCTCGACATACAAAACCATTCGAAAATACAGCCAAAAGAACCTTACTCTACAACCTGAACCGAATGAAACCCTTCAGACTCTGAGTTATCTTGCTGATACTACTAGAAAATAGAATCTCTGACCATTTATCACTGCTGAAAAAGTTTCATTGAAAACAAGGGTGACTCCCATTGCGAGTCTCACCCCTAAGTGCCAACCCAAAATATAACTCACATCCCGATAACTGAAGGTTCGCACCTTCATTCTATATGTGGTCATCTGTTTCCATGGTGATTTATATTATACTCGAATGCAGAATCTCCAACTATCTGCTATAACTGACAATCTCGTACATGGTCACACCATGAGACTCCGCCCAAGAGTCTAACTGATAGAAGCTACTTGAGCCCAAGTACCAAACGGATTCTATTCGTTGATCATAGAGTCATCCTACTCTAAACGTGATCCAACACCTTAACCAAGCCAATTTCTACCGGGTTCACCCATATTATCATAACCAAACAGGCCTCGCCCACGGGTCTCACCCATTCAAGGGCTATACAAGCCTAAAACATCGCCACATATCTAACAATACTTATTCCAAATAAGGAGTGATCAACCAACAATATGATCTGACTTAACCCATGTATACACTGTGATCCTCCTACAGTCCAATAACTACTCCTACAATGGTCTATCTCATCCTGGTGAATGCTACTACTCCATCACAGAATTATAACACTTCTCCGACAACTTATCAACCTTGTGTATGCTACAGCTACCCCGTAGTCTTACAACACTCTGGTAACAACCACGGGCCCAGCCCATGGTCATGCCCTCCATCCACCATACCCATTCATAATCAATCATGAGTCGAAACCGCATCCGACTAAACCCCAATCAGGTGTTCGGGTAATGCTCCGAACCCCAAAGCCTTTATCAACCTAGAACAGGCAGAGAGGCTCTAACACAAACCTCAACCTGAATCTAATCACCTATCCATCATACGTCACTACTGATGCGCTGCCCATTCGGTGAAATGTATTGAATCTCCCCATTTCTTGCACGAATCTCAACTAAAACTGCAACTAGAACTGCTTCTCTATTTGACTAGGGTTTGGAACTCCTCCTTCCGCACCCGAAACTATTCCCAATAATCAAAACGATTCTCTCTCACTTGGATTCAAATACGCTCTGCCAACCTTACTAATGAAAATTAATGTTAAACCAATCACCGAAATGGACGGATCAACAATCTAAAAATCCATTTGTCGGAAGATCGATGCACTCCGAACATCTCCAATAGATACAATTTAAATTCTTTTCACAATCCCATCGTATGAACAAACCCATGTGGCCAAGTCATCACCCACACTCAGGAGTGATGGGTCACTACTGCTCTTTCCCTACTAGCGGTAGAGATCGGATCAAAAACATATCAATAATTAGCTGACATCCATCCTGAGTGACATAAGAACTTCTGAACTCTGACTTCATTGTCCTAGAAGGGGACAACCAACTTCCATGAGATATTTTCCTAAAAGCTTTTGATCCGAGGACCCCACTCACAATACTGAAAATATGAACATGGCAAAAAATCCCTTGTACTCACGTTATGACCAATCCCTTACTCTCCTCAACCATGAAAGATCTCGACTATCTTGAATTCCAATAATCAAATAAACTTACACTGCAACTCCCTCTGGCCCTTGTCCTGAATTAACACGTCGATCTGATTGTCGATTCCCCGAGAAGGACCCCTAGCTCGCTCCCACCAAGGGCCCATACTAAAAATGGTTAACGGCCTAAATTTATCTCAATGAGATGCGCTCCAACCATGACTCTCGGTACGCAAAATGGCACATGACGACCCTCGAATATAACAACCAGGCAATTGAAAATAAGCTTATGATTCTTGGGTGGGGACTAACTACACCGAACATAAAGTCTTTCACATACAAACGCATGATCTAGAAGCATTTAAATATATAATAAGGCATGGAGAAACAAAAATGAATCATACCCGCAACAGCATCTGGTGGAACACTGGTCTCCCTTGCCTGCAACTGTAATGCTCAACTCCTCACCGTTGGAGCCTCCGACCTGCCCTTGTTGCCATTTGTAATCCTCAATGCAAATGGATCAGGTTATCTTACTACTCCACTCATTAACCTCAGACAGTCGGCCTTCTTGTGGCCCACCAGATTTCAGTAAAAACACAGAAAAATCGAGCCTCAGGGACAATCCCTCCTAAAATGACCAGTCTGACCGCAAGTGAAACAACCCATTCCTTTCTCACGACAACTCCCCTCGTGAGTCCTCCGAAACTTAGCACAACAGTACCGACCCGAATGGCCTACCAATCATGAATCCTAAGTCTTGAGACTCTTCGCCTGGCTTACTGCGGGCTGAATCTGCTTCGACCCGCATTTCAATCGAAGATGCAACTCAATCTCCCGCTCCCGTGCTCTAGGAATCATGTCATTCATGGTCTTTCACCCTGACAAGCTCACAAAATCTATGATGTCATCCCTCAACAAATCATGATACCTCGCCTCCTTCATCTCCTCGTCCACAACATTTGGCGGAACCAACAAAGCCCTCTCCCAAAACATTGTTGGAAAAAACCCTAAGAACGATTTGATGAATATAATGCGGAAAATAAGAATGAACACAATGATGAAGATATGTCGAATGATCAAACGTTTTATTCAAGAACATGATGAATAAATTACACTATACGAAAAGGTTAATGTAAATCTATTCTACCTAAGAAACCTCATTATGATTGGCGGCTACAACTTGCCTCACTCTTAACCCTAATTATGAATAATACATGACAATATATAGGGAATAAAACAAGTCTTGGGCCTAATAACCTACACTTTATCAAGGGGGCCCATTGCCATAATCCATGGAGTACTTTGAACCCTACAAGTGAACTGTACACGAAAATAATAACTGGTCCAAGCACACATGAACAAAATTGGATCAGAATCAATAGTGATAAAAAAATAAGAAACAAATTATTTGGCCTCAAACGTTGATCTATAGAAAATAATTGAATCAAAATACATTGATCTCAAAACAAATCAGATCCAAAGAACATAAAAATACCACGATGAACCGTAGAAGAATATCATAAATCTTCATGAACAGTAGCTTGAACAGAAAGCTTGATTCCAAACCGCCAAAATACCAAAAATCCTCAATAACTTGTGTAGAACATCATCAAATCAAGAACCGATACTTCAAAAATCAATTAGATCTTCAAAGACCCGCTCTGATATCACTTGTTGGAAAAAAACCTAAGAACGATTTGATGAATATAATGCGGAAAATAAGAACGAACACAATGATGAAGATATGTCGAATGATCAAACGTTTTATTCAAGAACATGAGGAATAAATTACACATAAGAAAATATTAAATTAAATCTATTCTACCTAAGAAACCGCATTATAATTGGCGGCTACATCTTGCCTCACTCTTAAACCTAATTATGAATAATACACGACAATATATAGGGAATAAAACAGGTCTTGGGCCTAATAACCTACACTTCATCAAGGGGGCCCATTGCCATAATCCATGGAGTACTTTGAACCCTACAAACATAACAGTGATCTCTGCTACAGTCTCAGTAGTATGACGAAGGCCGTGAAAATGCCTTGCGAACTAGTGCACCTTAATAGCTGGCCCAACCTCCTCCTGGAATCTCGTAATAAACTCATCCCAAGACATAGCCACCATAACCACATATCCTAATGCACGACCAACTTCCTCCCACCAATCACGGGCTCGGTCTCTCAGAAGGAAGGATGCAAATCCCACCTTTGCCCCCTCAGGGCAGAAGCTCGTCCGCTGAGCATTCTCCATGTCAGCAATCCATTTGTGGTTAGAAATGGGGTCCTTATCCCCAAAGAACTTCGGAGGTCCACAAGCCTTGAACTCCTAAAAATAGGGAGTGTGATCTCTGCCCGGAAGACTCCGAGTCGCTCACCTAAAATCTCCATAATCCCAGAGCGGAATATGTCCTGACACTCATCCATAATCTCTATGATACCCTCCTTGACTATACCGAAGATCACAAGAGTCTGATCCAATATACCATGGGTGATCTCCGACGAGATAAACTCCAACATCCACTCATCCATCAGCTCAGTGCTAACACCTGACGCTGAACCATATCCTCCTCCACGAGTTCTCATCACCATTCTGAAAAGCAACCATATAATAATCAGAACATAGCCACCAAAATTCCTCGTCCTACAGGCTTCCTAGAATCTTCATGACTCTCTTTGGTTTGAGTATAGATCATGTGTTGTCAGTAGTATGAGCCCATTACTACCTTCCATA